AAACCACGTCCTCCACAACTAGACTGAAGAACAAAAAGGACAGCAACTTGTCTGTTCCCCTTCCCCCAATTCCCCAATAAAAATCTTTAAAAAAAGTACAGTGGAACTTTTTCAGGTAATGAAAACGTTACATGTCTTAATTGTGATGGTGGTTACACAGCTGCATACTGTATACGTTTTTCAAAACTCAAACTATAGACTTCAAGTTGGTAAATTTTGGTGGACGTAAATTATTACTAGAAATGATCTACTTTCCTGTGCTGGAAAAGCTGAATTATCTGTCCACACTAAAGTGATTTGAAAAATCAGGGCAAGTTGGAATGGGACTACCCAGGAAGAGCCTGAGGGACATGTTGGAATAAGTGAACCAAGTGTATGTCAACCCATTGCTAGGGAAGTGGATCCCAGGAAAGATGCTCACGTGGAGTGACGCTGTTGTCCTAGTCCAGCAGGCTGCAGTAACAGTCACTGGATCAGCGATAGCTGTTTTGCTTCCTTGTTTTGCCTTTTCTTGAACTTTTTAAACTGCATTTTAAACTGCAGTTCTTCTGGGTGTTTTTTGCCTCTAGTACCTTCCGATGAAGTATGTCATACATTTCTGTATATTTCATTTAGCCTACAGAGGGAAGCTACGTCCCCACCTGAAGAGAACGGACACCAACGGGCACATTTTCGTGTTGGAGATGGGGGCCCCAGTTAGACGCAGCATGTGGGGCAGAGATGAGTATATTTGTGGTTATAAATGAAAGACTGTACTATGTTTGGCGAAAGCATCGATTAAACTCAATGTGTGGAGAGAGCGGGTGTGTGCATGCTGGGAACAAAGAGATGAATGTCTATTGCTCTGTCCACCAAGAAGAATTCCCTTTCTCTGAGAACTGTATCTTATTCCCTCCTGAGGGAACTTCCCTCTTGACATTGCAACCCAGTAGGGGCTGTCAATCACAGTATTCTATCCCCTTAGTCATACAAATCAGAGTTCTGTCCCAGAAAATACTAAATTAGAAGTTTGGGATGGAAAAGAATCCTTTTTGGTGACAAAACTGAACATACGCTCTATAGTACTGCTAATAAACTTGTATCTATCCAGCCATGCAAGCAAGTTGTTTTAAAGAATAAAGCCAACATGCAAAGTAATGCAGAGGGAGAAATGGAGACAGTATCCCGGTGACAATCCTTCATCTTCAGGTGTGCCCTTGCTCTTTTTTCCTAAGCCACTTGAACTTACTGTCACTTGCAACTACACGAGTGCAGACACAATGCTGTTAGAGAAAGTTAAGTAGTCTAGTACGCTGGTGTACAAGTATAGGATGCACAGGAAATGTTGTGGGGGTTCTCCTAAAGAACTTGGAAACCTTAAGAAACTTGTTCAGCATTGTTAAGTCAGTGTCAAAGTCACTTTATAAAGTAATCTAATAGAGTATGCTAACACATTGAGAAAAAGTACCCAACCACAGATGAAAACTGTGGTTCTGTCCATCCCAGCACTGCATGTTTGTGTGTGCACGTGGGTAGGGACACCCGAGGGGTACGGCCTACTAATGTTAGCATACGTATCAGCTTATCTTAGCCTGTTCAACTACCTCAATTTGCTATTTCACTCTCTGCAAAGATGATTCTAAACATGGAAACATACTCCATTCCTCTCAAACCTCAAACGTTATTATCTGTCAGTAGATAATCATGTCTCATACTTCACAGAGCTGTCAGATGGGACTACTTCAATTTCCCAATAATAATTATACCATGTTCGCCTACGTCGCACCTGTCCATCTTCCACAAAAGCCAACTCTTCCACATGTGCTTGGATCTCAATTCTTTCCCTCCCTGCTTTGTCTCTGGGACTTTACACTATTGATTATTCTATGCATTATAAGTTCAACCTTTCCCTTACCACAAGAAATGTAAACACCACAAAGATAGAGATCTTCTCTGTCCTATTCACTACTGTGTTTTTATGCCCAGCACATAGTAGGTACTTCGTTGAAAGAAAGAATAAATAAATGAATAAAAAGATGGAAACGAATACTCAGTAAGAAGTCTTCCATTTCTGAAGTTCTATAATCCTATGTGGAAAAGGTAGGTGCATGGTGGATTTCTGAGTTAGAATTAGAGGCTTTATCAAACTTTAATAATACTTCTCTCTAGATCAACATGATATATTTTTTTCTTCATCCTTGACTTTACTTCAGATAAACTGACATTAAATTTTGAGCCTAAAGATGAAAGAAATGAAGTAGAAAATAACAATAAATGATGCTTACTCTTCTTTCCATCCATATCGGCATGAATTTTCCGAGCCAAGAATCCACTTTTGTACACAGCAGCATTTGGGTCATGAGGAATGTCCAAGAATGGGTTGGTGGTACTCCCAATACGACTGAGGGTCTTCGGATGTGTTCCATTAGCCTTTTCGTCAGTACCTTCTGACGGGGATTTTTTTTTCTCTTCATCATCTCTAAAGGGAGGGGAAACAACACAAAAATTGAGCACCTACCATAATATTCAATGAACAGTGTTATTTGGAGTAATACACTATGGTATTTTCCAATGGTCTGGCAGCCTTGAGAACAACCATGATAATAACAGCTATCATTTACTAAATGTCTCCTGTGTGCCAGGTATTAATGACCATGACAATCTTTTAAGACCGCCATCAGTAGCCTATATTCAGATAAAGAAACAGATTCAGTTTAAATAAATACCAAAGGTTACAGATCTAGTAATTAAAGGAAGAGAGAGTGAGGATGTGATTGTAAACTCTCTAAAGCCTCTCCTCTTTCCACCCACCACGGTGCCTTCATGTTTGACTTCTCTTAAACCAGTGGGCGTTCTTTGGCAGAGATCATGATTTTGACTTTGATTTTCGATTTCTACATGGTCTAACTCAGCACCAGGCATACAGAATGTAACACATAATTATAGGTTAAGTCCAATGAATAGTATTGGACTCTATCTGCCAAACAACCAGGTTAATCTCTCATATCAAAACCCCAGGTAATGGTACCAAAGGGTTAGGAAGGTGGCACCAAGCACTGTGCTTTGGCATCGTGTAGCTACGACTTTCCTAACCGCCATGGAAGCGTGGGGCACCCTATTAGCGACTGAGAAAACCCCTAACTGCCTAGCCCCCTTTTCTGAATCTCTGTTCCTTCAAGCATTGCGATGCCTGAGGCTGTAATGTACATTAAGCATAAGGAGGTAGAAAATGGATGGTTATGTTCAGTTAATAAAGAGGAGGGAAGAGAAGAAAGATAATAAGCTCAGATATACTGCTAGAAAACACAGCACCATAATAACAGCATGTGTCTTAGCTCCCGTTTTTAACTTCCTGAATTACCTCTGGTTTCATTATTAAACTCTGATTATTCAATCATTTTATTAACATTTCAACCAAAACAACAAAATATACTTAAAATAAGTAATAAAAATAACCATCATCAAAAGTGTGTATTTGGTCATCAGAGAAAAATAGCCATTTTTTCCCCCCACTGGTATTTGATAATTGCGAGATATATGAAAAAACACTGGACTCTTGGACATCTATATTTTACTTTTACTTTTATTTTAAGATGATTTTAGATTTACGAAGATAGCACATAGGGCTCCCATAGGCCCATCATCCAGGTTCCCGAATGTTAACATCTTATATAACTATAGCAAAAATTTCAAAACAAAGAAATTAACAGTACAAAACTATGAATTAAACTTCAGATTTTACCAGTTTTTTTCTTTTTTCTGTTCTGGGGTCCTATCCATGATCCCACAGCACATTCATCAGTCATGTCTCCTCCAGTGAGTGACAGTTTCCCAGCCTTTCCTTGTACTTTATGACCCTGTCGCTTTGAAGAGCACTGGTCAATTATTTTATAGAATAGCCCCAATTTAGGTTTGTTTGACATTTTCTCAAGATTAGGCTGAGGTGATGCTTTTTTGGGAAGGATACCATAGGTGATGTACCCTTCTCAGTTTTGTTACTAGTGATACTAACCTCGGCCACTTGGTTATAATGGTGTCTTGCAAGTTTCTATACTGTAAAGTTACCACATTCCTTTGAAATCATTTGGGAGAGATATTTTATGATGGAAAATATCCTTTCTCTCCTTAAACTTCTGACCACAAATTTTAGCATTCATCAGTGGATCTTGTCCATGCTAAATTATTACAGTGGTGATCTAATGATTTTTTATTTTCCGCATTTCTTCTACACTTCTAATTGGAATTTTTCTGCAAGTATGAATATTTTAATTTTTCTTAAATTAATAAGTTATAATAAAACACTATCATTTACTATGTTGCTCAAATTTTTCCAGCTTTGGCCATTGGGAGTTCTATCAAGTACGGCTGGCCACACACAGTTATTGAGAATTTAAAATGTGGATAGTCCAAATTGAGATGTTCAATAAGTGAAAAAAATACACACCAGATTTCAAAAAACTTAGTACAAAAAAAAGGAAAAATATCTCAGTAATTTTTACACTGATTATATATTGAAATGATAATATTCTGGATACACTGGGTCAAATTAAAAAATACATTATAATGTTAATTCCCCATTTCTTTTTACTTCGATGACATGGCTACTAAAATTTTTTAAATTACATATGCAGCATACATTACATTTCTTTTAAACAGGGTTGTTATTAGAAAGGTTTGTATAGTCTATAACATTTGAATATTAAAACCAAAAGACAATAATAGGACAACAATAATTGGAGAAATGTTCAATACAGTATGGCTCAATAAAACCCTGACAATAAGTGAGGGTTGAAAATATAACACCTTGCAAAACAAGTATTCTTCCTATTGTGAAGGTTAAAGAAATAGCCTTGTCAGTCTCTGACGGTAAAAATCTTTCTGGACAGAGATGCAGGCTGCCACAATTTGGTGGCGGCTGTCCTTTGTTATACATGGGTGTGTGCTGGCCAGGACTTCCAGAATAGAAGTGATACTAGTAATAATACTGTGAGGACCTTCTTCCCTGGAAGCCACCCCCCTCACCCTGCCCCACAGTGAGTCCCTTTCCTTCATTCCTCCTCTTCTGTCCAAATCTCCCCGGTTCCCAGAAGAACTTGTGCCAGGTTCCATGTGAGACATAGAACTGGCAGAGAATAGGAACCTTATACCTGGATTCATGTTATTCCTGATTTTATCATTGTGGGATTTTATTGTTATAGATATCATAAATGCCTATGCGTCCCCATAGGGAGATTGTTTCCGCTGTACATAGAAGCAGATAGAAATTAATACAGTATTCTGATAAAAATAATTCCATATGTACAGCTGACTCATTTCTATAGAAAACAGCCTCTTCACTAGGACTTTCCTTGTACCCTGAACCACTGAGGCATTTTCAGAATGACAATACAAATGATTCTGTTCAAGTAAAATACAGAAGACCCAAGAGGGCTCTCTGTCTTGATTGTGAAAAGAATGACTCATATATGAATATTTTATACATTTAAAAAGACTCCTAATAATTTCCTACTGAGATTCCAGACATCTCAACACCTTACAACCTACAAAATCCCCCCAGACTTTCCCCAGACCCATCTGTTCTCTCGCTGATTCACTGGGTGGTCTGAGCCCACTGCTTTCTAAGGCCATTCATGTTGGGAATGACAACAGCTCTAGTGCTGAGAGTGGATAACCTTTCCACTTCTCTGTTCTTTCTAAAGGGCAACTGTAAATCATGAATTTCCTACATTCTGCCTTACTCATGACAGGTGCTTTTTACTTTTAAACAAACAAATTAGATAAGGAACCATACAAATCCACTGGAGTCTCATATTTCACTGAAATTCCACAAAGAATGGAAAACAACCACTTCCTAAAATTTACAAAAGTTGAATATTATTACATTGACCAGCCACTAAGCAGATTTTGAAATACCCCCCATTTGGCAAGTCTCATTATGGTAGAGTTCAGTTTCACCAAAGTTGTTAAGGTAGCACCAAATTCGAAAATTGAACGGCCTCTATTATGTAGAATTTAAATACGGAAAATAAATTGGTGGGGTTTTCTGGGGGTGGAGGGGGGAATAACAAAAAGAAAAAAACATTTTCCAGAGCAGAACTATTGAAATATTACTCAAATTGCAAAATCATTGAACAATAAAGATATGTTCAAGTTTGCCAGGTAGAGAAATGAAGATGGCTCTTGCAGTATTCACATTTATATGTGCTTTTCCTTTATTTTTTAATTGCAATAAAATACTTAACATAAAACTAAGCATTTTTCAATAGTACAGTTCTGTGGCATTAAGTTACATTCACACTGTTGTGAAACCAAGACTACCATCCACCTCCAGAATTTATCATCATCCCAAACTGAAATTCTATACAACTTCTCATCCCCTGCTCCCCTAATCATTGGCAATACCATTCCACTTTGTCTCTAAGAACTTAACTACTGTAGGTACCTCATTTAAGTGGAGTCATACAGTATTTGTCCGTGACTGGCTCATTTCACTTAGCATAATGTCCTAAAGGTTCATCCATGTGGCAGCATGTGGCAGAATTTCCTTCCTTTATCAGGATGAATAATATTCCATTGTATATATAATTATATCATTTTGTTTATCCACTCATCCATCAAAGGTGGCTACTGTGAATAATGTTGCTATGAAAATGGGTGTACAAATATCTCTTTGAGTCCTTGTTTTCAATTCTTACCCAGAAGTGGAATTCCTATAATATATGGTAATTTTTAAATTTTTTTGAGGAACCACCATATTGCTTTCCATCATGGCTGCACCCTTTTACATTCCCACTGACAGTGCACAGGGTTTCTTTCTCCGCATGCTGTTAACACTTACTTTCCACTGTTTTGATAATAGCCATCCTAATGGGTATAAGATAGTATCTCACTGTGGTTTTGATTTGTATTTCCTTAATGATTACTGATGTTGAACATCTTTCATGTACCTGTTGGCCTTTCGTATATCTTCTCTGGAAGAACATCGATTCAGGTCTTTTGTCCATCTTTAAATTGGATTATAGTCATATACCGCTTAACAATGGGGATAGTTCTGAGGGACTGGGTACTATATATATACTCAGCAGCAGGTAGAACTATGGATTAACTACCCTGCCCTGGCAGGGCAGCAGGACGAGACCCAGGGTTTACACGGCCCATTGTCTGGGGTCCTGAATCAGGCAAGAGTGTGCACTGAATATCCTGCTCAGATGCAGCCAGCAGCTTTGCTCTGCAGACAGGGAAAGCCACAGACTCTGCTCCCTGTTCAAGGGCTACTATAAGCAGGCTGTTGGGCTATGCAGCTTCCTGTGTCCTCTGGTAAGATTTCCTGGTTGGGTGGGCCGAAGACTTTATTCAGCAGTACGTGGGGCTACAAATCCGTCTCCCTGCCTGGGTGCAGTGGGAGAAAACAGCTCCAAGGCTACAAATGTTCTTTGCAGTCTTGACTCAAGCCATCGATGTTCCACATTCCCTGGCTGA